TCATTACCGTTCTTTCAATTTTATTATCTCGGCTGTTCGTATCCTCATATAGTATTCTTCGTGTTTATTATTTCGCGGGTCCCGTATACGGAGCTTTGCAGACTACAGTTTATAGGTCTCATTTCAGTTTAGTGAGGGAAACGGGCATGGGTCCGTAGCTGTTCTGTTTGCAAAGCCAAATTTAGTGCGGTGTACAGAAAAGCTATGTGGGTTTTAATAGTTCAAAGGGAAGGATAAAATATGACAATATGTGCCAGCCTCTCAAGGGTGCATTTGTGTCCGTCAAGGCTCCGGCTCAATTTGATACATAAATCAATCAAGGTTCCTAGCAAAATTTTTCAGGGATGATAACATCAAAAAAATATACGGGGACCCACTGGCTAGACCACTGTAACAGGGAAGGAGACCTTCGTTACATCTATCCCTGTCTGCTAATGTGGTAACTTGGAGATTGGTCGTGATAGCAAAATAAAAAAATAGTAGACACCACATAACAATCCAATCCCCTCACCATGCGGAATGCCCGTATGAGATCCCCACGAAGTTGCCTTTAGCCAAGAACTATTAGATTGCATTTTAGGCAGGTCACATATGAGAATTAGTCATTCTGATAACCCTCTTTGCTGCTTTCCTTTGAGCTGCTTCGAAAATATCCTGCTCTCGAACCGTCTGGAGTTTGCAGGCTCGTAAAAAGAATTCCAACTTTGGCCTTTTGAATGTACCGGACTTGCTGGAAAATATATTCTTTAAAATTTACAAAGGTTTTCCTGAAGGCATGAACCACAAACATTGGCTCTCTCGCTACTCTCCCTCAATGAGAGGTCATTTTTGTTTCCATTTCTTACAAAGTTGCACTGTTGAGGGAGAAGCTTCTACTGTTGATAGATCTGGCTGGATTTTTTAGACGGGGTATTGTACACTTATCGACATTGAACTACAGAAGCCAATGGTTAGGCCATTTCTGCAACCGATTTAGGCTGATGTGCAATCTATTCTCGACGGCAGAGCTTCGGATGATACTCGAGATTTCTATGTTATTCGCAAAGATAATTGCCATACAGTTCTAAATTCTGACAAAATCGCCCACCTTTATTAGGAACAGTGTGGTTACTAGTACTGAAAGCTGGGGAATTGCACTCTCGACCGCAGCACAACATAAGTTCGCTTGTACGATGCACACAACTTGGTGCCCACTCAAAAGGAATCTGTCGATCCATTTGAGGAAGCCTCTTTTGATTCATATCTTCTCTAGCTTATACAGTAGTCTCTGCTGTGACGCAGTCTAGGAGGCCTATTGCGAGGCAATGAAGATTAGATTAACCACGTGCCTACCCATGAGAGCCAAGTTCCAGTCTTGGAGATGTTGTAGTAAATTATACATGCTGAATTCTCCATTTCAGAACCCTTTTTTGGCAACTTAACCCCACGCGAGTCTCTAGGAATTGCACATGTTCGCTCTTACCGAGTCCCTCCATGACATCTCCGGTGATGCATGTCAAACTTATAGACCAATAATTTATTACCAACGTCCGGTTCCCGCATTACTGTGGGGGGATTATATGCGC